TGAAACTGCATACTGGCAAACAGGCCTGGCAGATCACCTCCTTCCACATGCATTTTCTTGGGATCAAGTGTAACTTGAACTGAAGAGTGAAACCACAACACATTAAACCGATTTGGTTCCCAGTCAGCAAGTTCTTCCCTTACACAAAAGCTGAAATAGAAACACGCTACTTACTCGTTGTACCAGTGTTTTTAATCTCAGTTAAGGTTGTATTGTCATCATAGCCAGTGAAGGTGAAAGCAGTCAGATTAGTATTAGCCTGCACATTGGCGGTTACAATGTCTACTGGAGACTGTTGAGTGCCATTACAGTATTTTTCTGCGATTATGGGCCAAGCGACAGCACCTGAGATGCAGAACATTAAATAAAATTAACACATCTCCACCTAGTTATTAGCGTCAAATGTATAAGCGCTAATTTTTAACAGCAGTGAAACACGCATTATATAAATTCAAAGTTTGCAAAAAATACTTACTACATGAAGGCCTATGATAGCACCAAGCTAAGAAGCAGCACATGAAAAGGAGGAGTTATTTTGAAACATCACATAATACACAATGCAACATTAGTCACAGAAATGTCAACCAAACACTTACAAACAGAGGTTGGTGCACTGTGCACCATGTGCAACAGACAAGCAGCAAGGCAGATTAACGGAGCATTCATCTATATAAAAATAAAATAAAAAAAACAGCAAAAGTAGTACAAACAGTTCTGTTATGTAATCATCAGGCAGATCCATTCAAAACATCTAGAAATGCATAGCTCTTTCCTAGAACAAAATACCATTTAAATATTACACATTAAAAGCAGATAAAATCATTTCTATACAAATTTTTGTGACTCAATTCTCCGGTTTTAGTGCAAAGACAAACTACTATCTTACCATTTTAGACAATTAAATCCTTATACTCTATCAGTCCACAACTAACTTTGTATCTTTTGACCACAAGCCAAAACCTGGTTCCTGTAGCAAATCTGCAAAACCCTGTTCAACAATCACCATGTGTATGAAGGCTTTATACTCAAAGGGTTTCAAAGTTCTGAAATGGGCAAAGACGTGACTGTAAAATGAGCTCATTGAGACAGGTGCTACCTAAAGGGTGTTAAGTGATTAAGGCCCATTTGGTTCAGGTGTTTGATGAAAATTTAGGTTGACAGCAATCAAACTCCATCCCCAAACAGATAGTTTGATGGCCACTTTATAACCCAGGATCCATGTTCAGTTGGTTTCCTTATATGCATGTCAGATGTAACTTATGCATTTTGTTAAGGAAAGAAATGTTGTAGACAGTCAATGTTGTATAAATGATCCAATCGTCATATTCGAGTAAAAGTAAAGATACCTTTATGATACTGACTCAAGTAAAGTTAGAGTAGCTCATTAGAAAAAAATACCCAAGAATTGAAGTAATATTAGACATTATAGTCATATTAAAACTATTTAAGCATTAAAAGTTCCCCCATTTCGGAGGAAAGGGATAACAGAATGGTTGATTACACATGAATTAAAATGTTATTTGTTAAACAAGTTTAAATGTGGGTATTATTGTACACATGCAAAATAAATATAAAATAAAATAAATGCTGCATTTAGAATTGTATTCATCCTAAAATAAAGGGTGCATTGTGTAAACAGTGATTGTGTGGTGTATTTTACAAAATTTTAAGAAATATGTGATCCTGGAGCACAAAACCAGTCTTAAGTCGCTTGGGTATATTTTTAG